TCACTAAAATTAAATTAACGCCAACGACTTATTAAAGCACTTAAATGACGTCATTTGGGTGCTTTAATAGACTTATTCTGACACTGAAATAGACAAATTACACTTATACATATTGTGATTTATATAATTTAAATCACCCTGTAGGCTTCTTTTTGGGTAATTTATAAAATCAAAATTGTGTGTCAGTTTAGGAGAAACTGTTTGTACCGATCTAGAAAAAATAACTTCATTCTACTCGTAGTTGAAGCACAAACAAGTAGGGGAGAGATTGACCGTTGCTACCAATGAAATTCTTATTTATTTTTCCGTTTCCCGGTCTTTACAGACGCTAATCCGGCTTAATTTTCGTCCGGATGGAATGACGTTTTTTTTTCTTTTTTTTTGTATGCTTTCTAGTGAATTGCAGTAGTAAAACGGGGCGTGAAATCGACCAGCGGGAGACGCAACATCAATCGAGTTTTGTTAGTTTTTTATTACTGAGGGTCAGTGGCATTGCTCTGTCCGATTGAATGTGATAATAAATCACTCTAAAGGATGCTTTTTTTTACGTAACATTACGTACGTTATATGGGATCCGGACACTGGTTAGATGGCGTTTCTGAATCATTGAATTAGGAGATCTAGTTAAATAAACTAATGGAACATTTTCATTTACTTACCCTGACAATGCAAAACATGAATGTTCAGTAACTTTCTTTTCTTATATCAACTAAGTACAAATACTGGGCGTTTAATTAAATTTCTGATCAAAGTGGTCAGTGATTTTGAAATTAAGTTTTCAAAATTGACTAATTTAGAGACGAAAAATAGGTATCAGAGACTTGGAATTTTTGTGCCACGTTGTTTGTGATAAAAAATATTGAATTATTGGTGATATTAGGTTGGTTGTTTCAGGTGTCGGCTGTGCCAGCGCCCGCCCGTCGGAAATAAATGACAATAATTGACTAAAATTCTGGCGATTACAACTTCTGTTTCTACAGTGAGTAAAGTCCATTTGTTTTAAAAACAATTGTCGGTGTTAAAGACCTGACTGTACCACCCTAAAACCTTTCTTTTCGGAACATCTGTGTACATTAAAATCTCCCTTGATTAGGTTTGAGGTTCTGTTAGTAATTTTTAAATGTCAGAAATGTTTCAAGCAAATTTTTTACCAAAAGACAAGAAATAAAGCCGATAAGGACACGGAAAAATACTGCTAGACGGGAAAAATTTAGTTAATGGGTAATATAAATTTTTACTCATATTCAGAATCTGATTAAAAATTTTCAGACCACCAATCGTTTTCCGAATCTGATTCTGTGGAAAGATGAATCATTATTCGAGAAATATAATGAAATGCTAGATCAGTCTGGGAATTTATTGGATGGTGTTCTTTTTTAGGAGTTTTTTTTACAACAAAAATTGTCAAATTTATAAAGAATTTTAACATGGTTAGTTTTTGTGTCTGCAAATTTTCACAAAATCTAATTATAGCTATTTTTCTTGTTATATTAGGGTCCAAATCCTTGCATTTTTAAACTTATTTTTGTAAACGACTCTTCTTGAAATAAAACACAATTTTACAATAATTTATTCAAAGAATTATTATAATTCAATTAACTCGTACAAGAGCTAGGCTAAGACTGACTCGTTATCGTATTAATTTCCTCAAAAACGGCAAGATCCTCAAAACAAAACATTTCCGATATATAATGTAATGTAATTCCGATGTAATAGTTCCGATGTAAAAGGTCTTTGTTTGGAGCAGCGTATTCCCGCCATTCGCAACATCACAGAAATAATTCTAATAACAACCAATGCCACCTTCACGATTTTCTGSGCCCTTTACGTTCTACTTTTTATTTTAAATTTAAAAGTAAATGCATCATCAGTAGCGCAAGCGCCTTCATAAGCAAAACGGCTGACATACAATTGACATTTTACGTTGCCAACCTAAAAACTAGTGGCTTATAAACTCTGTTGTTTTTTTATCATTTGTGAGATAGATATATTACAGTGTTCAGTTTTATTAAAGCTCTCAGCTTCGCTTCGAGCTTCAATATTAAAACTTCACGCCGTAAAATTATACCTACCGCACGTATAATGTAAATAACTATTATTTTTAATAGACATTTTAAAAATAGGTACAACAAACCTGTTTAAATACATTTAAAAAATTAAAGTTTTTCGCGTTTTTGCACTCGATTTTTCGACTTTTTGCGATTTTTTATCTTAGTTTCTCAAAGAAAAGTCGTCAGCAAAGAGTTCTAAAATGATCAATTTTTATATTAGATATTTCTCCAGCGTAATACATATTACTTTAGCTAAAGCTATACAGAGTGATTCTTTTAAAGCCTACATTAGAAACTTTTTAACTTGTAATGCAGATAGGAATTTGAAATTTTGTACACAACCCAAATCAACCAGTCTGAGTTCAACTAAATTATTTTCAACATGGCTGAACTTCCGAAACTACGCGCCAACTTTGAAATTTTAAATGGTAACCACTTATTTTTATTGCATTTTTGGATTCTCCTTTCCAAACAGTAAAATGTACCTAAAGTCTGTTTTTTTTTTAATGGGAATTACCAAGTCAAAATTTTGGTGAAAAAATTGGTAGCAGCTTGTCTCCATAGCCACAAATTTTGTTTGCTCTTTGTTTTTGTCCCTAGAAATTTTGTTAAAAAATTATGGTTACGTTTTCAAATTGAGATGTTGTCAAAAAATTTTGACTTTTATGAATCTTGTGTGCCTGTTTGCTCTTTGAAAGCGCTATAATTAAATACCTGAGGACCGACATCATTACTTAAGGTCTAAAGAAAGAATTCAGTCCTAATAATTTTGAAAGAAACACACCGCAAGTAAGTACAATGTTGTGGACAAAAATGAAAATCTTGCTACAAAAACTTTTAATAAAAAAGAGTGTCTATTTAGAAAAAAGTTATTTAGCAAAAGATACAARTAAGTATTATGATGATTGGCAATAAATTTTGTGTAATTTATTGAAATGAGCTCAAAGTTGATGCATTTTATAAATTTTTCTTCAGCTTTAGTTTCAAAATTGTTACTTTTTCAACTCGTTCCTCAAAAACGATGCACAAAACCCTAATTTAATTGCATTCTTTTTGAGGTTCTTTCTCATTCATATTTATTTTGTATTTTTGTCAATTTCTTGCTAAAAATTGATAATGTTTATTAAACCTGCATTACAAATTTCGTCTACATTTTAACAGGCACTTTTTCTAACTTCCTGCTTGCGAACTATTCGTTTCCAAAATTTCGTCTTTAAATTTCCTTATACA